TTGCAAATTCCAAAATGTCATTTTAGAGCTAGTAACAGAGGCTTGAGTCATTGATATGTAGGCTAAAATAGTTATTAATGCAGTCTAATGCAGTTATTAGAGAGAGAGCGCGAGAGAGAGAGAGAGAGAGAGAGAGAGAGAGATTAAGCGTGTGTGAATTAGATCTGTGCGTCTCTCAGCAGTGTTCGGCAGCAGCGTCTCTACTAATAGCGAAACTGTAAATTAATCTGCTCCAACAACAGCGCTGTTATTACCTTGCTAGTGAGAAATGTCATGTACCTTTTAAGTTGCTATACTATTTTACTGAAATCGTCAGAGCAGCGCTGACAGCACGTTTCTGTGTGTTTCCGTGTGTGCGAGCCGTGTCTCACTGTATGTGTGTCCGTTTAAGGAAGAGGGAGCGGGAGAAAGTGAGTATATGTGCTTTCCGTGTATAGCTGTAATTTTGTGGCAAAACATTGAAATCATCTGGGAGGGGGGGGGGGTATATTGTTTTCTATATTTATTTGCTAGGTCCTTGTCATTGTGGGTTTTGTTTTTGTTTGCTTTTGTAGGCTGTAAGAACTTTTGAAATAACTGAAATAGTTTGGCGAAGTGACATGGACATGCTGCTGGAACTATATGTTTCCCTGAAAATAATGGTGCATTCAAGTCATGTCAGATATTAGATATGAGTTCAACGCACATGGACGTCACCACAAAGTCGTTATTACTAGTGGGAAACTCGAAATTTTATTTAAAGGTGCGTTCACGCCATATTCCCGTAATTACGAGATTCCAACTTGTAAAAAGCGTTCACGTACTCGTAGAACTCGTAATTACAACTTGTGAACTGGGAGTTTTCTGAGAGCTACGACTTGTACCACGTGACCACTGTACCACCTGACCACCGCAGGCTCTGTGTAGGCGTTGATAGTGTTGACATAGAAAAGCATAATTCCGAGTCCAAGGACGTGAACAGCTCCGAGTAGAGCGTGACGTGACGTGCTGTCATCTTGAAATTAGGGTAATTACGATATGGCTTGAACGCAGCATATGCCCTGAGTTTCCGAATTGGGGGTGTGTCAGTGAGAAAACATGCTGCATTCACGCCATGTCTAATTAATGTAATTCTGAGATGAGAACATGTGACGTTCTGCTTGGAGCTGTTCAGACCCTTGGACTCTACGGCACTATCAATGCCTAAACAGTCCTTAATAAATCTGAGGTGGTTGGGTGGTACAAGTTGTAGCTCTTAAAAAAATCTCAGTTCCCAAGTTGTAATTCCGAGTTCTACGAGGACGTGAAAGCTTTTTACAAGTTATCTCATAAGGAAGGTATCTCATAATCACGGTAATTACGATATGGCGTGAACGCACATATCGGATGCAGACCAAGCTGCAACCTCCCGCTCTCTCTCTCGTGAAGCCAACAAGAAAGTGACTTAAACTGTAATTCGTCAACTGTCCGCTAGAGGCTGGCTGCAACAGGGAGTCAATCCCATAGACACCCCATGTTAAAATGGCCAACTTTACAGCAGAAAAAAACATGTTTACAGCCTGGTTCAAAAAATTATTTTGGTCTATATAGCTAATTTTGCCCTTCATGACAACTGTGAGGAGGGTGAATTTTTTTATAACTCATCCGTTTAAATTATATTAAGCCTTAAAGTGCTGCATAATTAAGGGCGTGGCCACTTGAGTGACAGGTGGATTGCCACTGCTGTCACCGCCATCAAGCTAGGTGGGCGTGGCTTCAGCAACCAGCTCCCGCCTTTTTGCCCATTTTCGATTATCCGGGAGTGACGCGCGGTGACACGCTACCAAGATGGCGACGGCCGGCTCCGCCCACTTTAGGCTCCGCTCTCTTCTCTTCAAATTCCAAACCATGTGTTCAGGGGATTTATAAAGGGGATTTACGGACCTTCCCTCCATATATGAAGCATCAGTTGTGTTTCCTTCATAAACACTCTTTAGAAACCTACGGGTGACGTCGCGGACCATAGAATATATAATTATTCAGTTTACATCACATTCATAAATTGCATAAAAACAGAAAAAAGCAAAAACACGATGCACATGCACATTCTTTAATCATCGGTTTGTAGATGTAGAGTTTTTAAAAAATCGTTGAATTTTATGTAGAAAAGTTAAATCTCCGTCTTGTTCCTACCAAAGTGACTTGAATGCACCTGACGTCGTAATTACAACTTGTCAACTCGTAAATACGAACGTCCCACAGGAGGACTTGAATGCACAATAACTGCACGCTTTAGAAAGTTCGTCAGCCAATCAGATTCAAGCATTCAACAGCCCCGTAGTATAATATCTATTCAAACAACACTGGACACAGCACTGCGGCATGGTAAATAAAAAAGCGAGCGAACGCAGTAGGTAGAGGACCCGGACTTTGGACCCGGATATAGAGTGGTTACGTCACGACTTAACAACCGGATAGGCTAGGCCTACTACTGTACACCCAAAGCTCTTTACTATATTGATTATATTAATTATTATTATTAATTATAATATTAATATACTATAATCATATGTATATTATAATACTTATTTATATTAGTTATAACTTCTTATATTAGTTCTAGACACATTTTACAATGCAGTGACACACGAAGTCGATCTTGTGTCGCTAGAAGCTATAATAACCGAAAGCAATCGCTCTCGGCTGCGTTTGAGTATGTAGGCCTAAAGTATGTTTCTGGCCTAAGCATGTGTTCTATTTTGATTCTGTTTTGACCTGTGTATTATTTTTCCCTAAAAAACGTTTTTTATTTGAATCCTAATCTATGAAATGTCAGCCATTATGTGTAGTTGTTAATCCGCAATGTTTTTAAATGTCACGTTTTTCATCTCAACAGCCAGTGCTCTAACTTATGCAGCTGGTAAGTAACAGACTGTTTAGTCACTCTTATTCAACTCTTTTTCTAGTTACATGATATGAATGACTGTTTTGCCTAGTCTTAAATGTTACAATACTTGTTATATCATAATGTTTTTTAGGAGATTATAGTATCAGACTGGTCAATGGTAATAGTGACTGCTCTGGAAGAGTGGAGATCCGTTATAATGGCCAGTGGGGAACCGTGTGTGATGATAACTGGGACATGAATGATGCTGCTGTGGTGTGCAGACAGTTACAGTGTGGATCAGCCATCAGTGCACCTCATAGTGCTGCTTTTGGTCAAGGCAGTGGGTCAATCTGGCTGGATGATGTTGAATGCTCAGGAAGTGAAGGAACCCTCACACAATGTTCACACAGTGGACTAACAAATAATAACTGTAATCATGGTGAAGATGCTGGTGTTGTTTGTTCTGGTAAGTCAAATCTTAAGCACCTTCACACATTATTTTGGGGGAAATGAGCAACAGAAATTACATTAAGATTAATGTTTTTCATAATTTTTCAACATTTTTAAATAATTAAATTTTTCTTTTGCAGGCGACCTGCAGATGCCGACCCTTACTTTGACCTCCAGACATGCAGTTGTTTCTTCTGGAGAAAATATCCAGTTCAGATGCACAACACCAAAACCAAGATGCAATGTTAATGCTGAATTCCAGCTCTTCAGAAACGGACCATCTATATCCTTCCAGAAACATGAATCTAGTGTGACTTTCAACCTTGTTAATGTAGACGTCTCACATCAGGGCATCTACAGCTGTCATTACTCCTACCAAAACAACACTATCAAGTCACCTTGGAGTAACAGTGTTAACATCACTGTGGGTGAGTGTGTTCAGTTTAGTGTCATTGCCTGCATCATAGATTACATGCATTAGTTGCATAGAAGTGAATTCAATCTGTATTTTTGATCATGAAAAGATGCAGTTCATGAAGTTCATTTTTATTTTATTTTATTTTTTAGTTAGCTTTATTGTTTGAGTTTCTGTAATCATATAAATGCATTCTTCTTGTTCTTTAGTGAACTTGCAGCAGCCAAGCATTTCCCACAGTGCGCCTGTTGGATGGTTTGACGAGGGACCTCAGTGGCCAGTGATCACCAGGGGCCACAGTTTCACTATCATCTGTTCCACTGAATCTCAGTTTCCTGGAGGCTCTTTTCACTTGTTCAGGGAATCAGATATCATCAGGACTGAGTCAGCTGTCAATCACTCTGCCTCCTTCTTCTTTCCTGAGGCAGAATATTCAAATGAGGGAAACTACAGTTGTGTTCATGAAGTCAGTTTCTCCTCACGCTCCTTCCGTTCATCTGCCTCTGAACTGCTGCTCATCACTATCACAGGTACTGATGTGTAACAGTAAAAACAAGCTGGATTGCTGTTAATGAAAGTTGAACTCAAACCCTTATGTCTCTCTCAGCCTCCCTGCTTCCTGTCATTGGTGCTGCAGTGTCAGCTGTACTGCTCTTATTGTCTGTCCTCATAATCATCCTCCTGCTGAAGAGAAGACAAAAGCAAAGGAATAAGGAAACTCTCTTTAAGTTCTCCTTTAGAAACGGTAACTCTGCATTTCATGAAAACATCAGATTATATCTTTTAAGTTTTAACATTTTATTTTCCATCAACACTATGTGTATTAACAACTTCCTTTAATAAATTTGCCCTTCATCTCTATGCAATGTTACTAGCTGCAGCTAATACATATTCAGGTGCATCCCATGACAAGAAAAATGAAGAGGATGATGAGGCTGATTATGAAAATGTAGAATTTAATAATAAAAACATGTATCATGATGACTCTGAAGAGGACTATGTCAGTGTTGACATGGATGACTCTGAAGAGGACTACGTCAATGCAAATTTATGGAGATTAAAAGTGTGGTAGACAAATCTGATGATAACAATTATGAAAGCTATTGTGATGAATACTGAGTAAAATACTAAAATTAATGAGGCTCTAAAGAGAAATATGGCAACCTTGATGTCAATGAAGAATATCCATTTGATAGTGACTGATATACAGGTGCATCTCAATAAATTAGAATGTCATGGAAAAGTTCATTTATTTCAGTAATTCAACTCAAATTGTGAAACTTGTGTATTAAAGGGGTCATATGATGCGATTTCAAGTTTACCTTTCTCTTTGGAGTGTTACAAGCTGATTGTGCATAGATAAGATCCCTGAAGTTGCAAAGACTAAAGTCTCAAAACCAAAGAGATATTCTTTATCAAAGTTAAGACTCTGCCACGCCTCCCTAAAACGGCTCATTCTAACACGCCCCCACATATCTACCTCACTATGTGGAAATATTTGCTTAATGCCACCCAAATGTTCACGCAAAGAAAGAAGGCGTGGTTTCAGTAACCGCAGTTAAGTGTTGAAGCAGCATGTCAGGGAGACGCTGTGTGTTTCTTTGGTTGTGCCTCTTTTTCTTCCACACTTTTTCCTTCCACTCAACTTTCTGTTAACATGCTTGGATACAGCACTCTGTGAACAGCCAGCTTCTTTGGCAATGAATGTTTGTGGCTTACCCTCCTTGTGAAGGGTGTCAATGATTGTCTTCTGGACAACTGTCAGATCAGCAGTCTTCCCCATGATTGTGTAGCCTAGTGAACCAAACTGAGAGACCATTTTGAAAGCTCAGGAAACCTTTGCAGGTGTTTTGAGTTGATTAGCTGATTGGCATGTCACCATATTCTAATTTGTTGAGATAGTGAATTGGTGGGTTTTTGTTAAATGTGAGCCAAAATCATCACAATTAAAATAACCAAAGACTTAAACTACTTCAGTCTGAGTGCATTGAATTTATTTAATACACGAGTTTCACAATTTGAGTTGAATTACTGAAATAAATGAACTTTTCCACGACATTCTAATTTATTGAGATCCACCTGTATCTTTGTTTGGCCTCACTGTCTTTTTATTAATGAGGATTGCTTTGAGATAATAAAGCGATATTGTGTGTATTATACAGTTGTGTAATGTAAATGTTGTGTAATACTGTCAATAGTAGAACAATCAAGTGCTCTTCCAGGTTAATTTGTGTGTTGCCAGTTTTCAACCCGTGCGACAATCCCCCAGAGGGCCATGGAGGTACTGCAGGGGGACTGTAAACAATGATTAAAAATTATTTTGAGCATTCTATAAAATAAAGTTAATAAAGTTGCAAAGTCCCACCCCATTTGTGTGTGTGGTTCAGGTATACCCTACGTTATGGGGACAAAATGTCACCACAAAGATGGCAATATTCAAAATCCTTGTCCTTGTGGAGACATTTTTGGTCCCCATGAGAAAACAGGCTTATTAATCATACAGAATGATGTTTTGAATTTTTTGAAAATCTAAAATAGCAGAAGGTTTTGTGTGAGGGGTAGGGTTAGGGTAAGGGGATAGAAAATACAGTTTGTACAGTATAAAAACCATTACTTCTGTGAAATGTGTGTGTGTGTGTGTGTGTGAAATTTTACTGTTTTGAATTTTTTTTTAAATAGCTAATCATTTTCATGATTCATGTAGTGTAGTTGGGGCGGAGAGAGATAAATTGCAAGCTCATTGACTGGAGTGACACCATAAGTGTGTCCGACCAAAGTCCCTCTCTTGGCTCGACTTGGAAGCAGCGCCGTGCAGACCGATCGCTGTATGATATCAAAGCACCGCGAGAGCTACAGAGAGCAGATGGCTGTGCATGCTTTCGAATCGCTCTCGCGGTACTTTGATGTCATATGCCGATCGGTTCAAATCGAATACACCTCATCTCACGAGCCGGTCTGTTTTGACGGCACATTACGCTCACATCCGCATGTAAACATTTCGTAGGCGTGGATGTTCGTCATTGTGCGTGAAGCAGACACAATGTTCGCAATTTGTAATACAGTATTGACTGTTTTTGCTCAAGTTTGCTGACGAAGTTTCAATCAAAGCCACAGCAGAACTGTTGTGTTTCCCAGCAACACACAGCGGTGTTTCGATACTGAATGAACCCACGTACTTGAACGAATCAAGTGAGTCAATGATTCAGTAACCCATTCATAAATACAGACGCCTCGTCTCTGAATGAATCAGCCTTTTGAATGAATAGGCTTGTTTGAGATGCGCCTCGCCTTGCCTGAAATGTAGGCGAGAGTAGAGGCGGCTGCAGTGAGGGGAGGAGTGAAATAAGGAGAAGGGTCTGGCTGCAGCCTTGCACTTGCACTCTCAGACACTTGCACTCTCAGACTTGCTTCCGCTAGCGACGTCACTTGCAGTCTTTGTTTTTATTTTGTTCTATTTTTTATTACTTTTTGCTTGAATCTCTCAACATTGTACAACAGAAGCCAGGTGGTGAAGACAAGAAAAAATAAACTAAATTACAAAGCCACTTGCACTCTCCGATACCTGCAACATCACTTGCAATCGACACAAATCGTGTGTGTGTTGCCAATGGAGACAAGACACTGGTGGTGATTAAACTATTAAAACTAATTTAGTACTATAACATACAGGGTCCTGCAAGAAAAAGACAAGACTCGCAAATCCGTGGCTACAGAACAGCAGAATATGAATGCAATGCACAAAGTCTCTCGTTAAGCATTTTCCTCCTGTAGAAAAACATAAACACTTAACATGGTGTAATGTATTAAGATGCTATTAAAATATCAAATTAAATATACAGTTTATTATTATAATGAATATGTATATAGTATTTTCCTCCCATACCGCAAAACGTGGCATAATGTGGCATAATGGACTAAGATGATAAAGACCAAACGCAATGCTCTTCATTATTAAAATATAGCCTACATAACTAATGTACAGGCAAGCAGGTGAGCCCAGAATAAACGCAACACGCATAGTTTCGTGTTAAGCGTTTTTCCATATAGAATAAACTGTCTACAGCTCTTTTATATCATTGTCTTTGTCCATTAAGCTACATTACGTGTTTTATTTATAATGATTTTCTATAGGAGGAAAATGTTTAACGTGCAATTTAACGCATTGCGTTCTGGGCTCGTCTGCTTGCCTGTACGGAGTTGATCCTTTTAAAATCACTTAATGCATTTCAAAATGCATGTTCATAATTGCTGTTCTGTATATACTTTGAGTCAACAACAAGACATATAGGCTACTGTATTGTCTTTATCATAGTCCGTTATTATGCCACATTAAGCGTTTTGCTGTATGGGAGGACAAGTGAAAGTTTGCGCATTGTGTTCATAGCCATCTGTTTGCCTTGTAGTACATTAAATAACTATATATCGAATTCGATTTTTTAATTGAACTTAATGTATCTTAATACATTAAGCCATGTTAAGTGTTTATGTTTTTCTACAGGAGGAAAACGCTTAACGAGAGACTTTGTGCATTGCGTTCATATTCTGCTGTTCTGTGGTCACGGATTTGCGGGTCTTGTCTTTTTCTGGCAGAACCCTCTTATTGTACTAAATACTTATACTTGTATAGTACTTTCATTAGTTTTAATAAGTATTGCTTTTTATTTCTCCTCTTTCCTACTACTTGTTTCGCTTCTGTTTCAGTTTTTATAACCATTTCTTACTATGTGTCAGTAAATTGTTGTTTTTTAGCACATGTGTTTGGCAGTGTTATTTTTTAGGATTACTGATAAACTACTGTCATTTGATTTGTATTATTTGCATTTGTTATTTATTTTAATTTTAGTTACATTATGTCTGAAT